TAGCTTCTGCTAATTGGTGTGATACAAGCATGAAGTGTGTTGGCTCAGTAGGTCTCCCTGGAAACTTTGAAATGATTTCTTAGTCCTGTCGTTGTTCCATTCTCATGCTAATTTAACAACAATGGGCTGCGGATTTCCTGCCAGCGTTAGTGGCACAGCAACTCCCAATTTGTGGGAATCTTCCCCTGGCTGAAGGCACAGCACTGTCCCTGCCTCCCACCAGCACACTGCTGACAGAACCACGGAATCACAGGATGCTTTGGGTTGAAGGGACRTTAAAGATCTCCCATCCCACCCCTATGCAAACAGTCCCATGAGGGATTGCTGCCCTCTACCCCAAACATTTCCCTCACCTCCATACCTTCATTCTTTCCCATGTGTTCCTTCTAGAGATACCACCTTCTTCCTGACACTTTCCTTCTTTGTCTTCCCCTTCCCCAGGATGTAAGAAATACAGAATGTACAGTTTTGTTTTGTTTTTGAGAAGCTGGGCAAAATACTGTCAGTAGAACACATCTGGAAACTTCACGAGTTAATGTGTCCTTGAATAGCATAARCTGCTTTGATTTAGACTGCAGTTTGCTGCTTTCCCTTCTGGGATTACTGAGGAGTTTTCAGTGGCTGCAGTGATGATTGTTCTCTTTTGCTCAGTAATTCACTTGCATTTCAGGTTACACACGGGCTCCCAGGTTCTGAAATGAAAATGTCTTTAGAAGTCAAGAACAAGAAATATTTTTAGCTTGTCATGTTAAATTTTAATTAATCACCTCTGCCACCTTTTTCATCATCAAAGGTTTGCAACGTGCCCTTGCAAACATCAGGTAGTGAATATAAGCCTTAAATACACGGCAAATGATTGAGCTTCCTCATGTCTCACATTGAAGGCAGGCTTTTGTTAGGGCTCTTAATGTTTTGGTAGCAATCTTTGCACACAGTTAAATTTTTCACCATTGCTTTTCATCTCTTGTTTCTGTTCTTATCARTATTGATTCCTGGAATTTTCTTTTTGACTTACTCTCATTGTCCAGGCTTGAATAATTAAACCAAGTTTGCAATAAATCAGTGTAAAATCAGGAAATAGCAATTAATAAGATCATGGAACATGTCAGGTTCAAAATTATAATTTTTTTGTATATTTTCATGTTTTGTAAGGAAGGCTCAGGGAAGAGCAGTTCATGGGCATCTATTTTCACACCACACGCACCATTTGCAAGCCCACCGTGCAGCACAATTTGGTGTCACCTGGTGTCCCTTGGAACATGATTTACATGATTTACCAAAGCACTGTTGACACTTGTATCATTTCCCCATATGAGCTTTGCCTTCTGGACAGTCAAAGTGACCARATTTACGAGGAGGTGAAGGCAGGAGCTTGCAGTGGAATTGTCAAGTGCTGTTGCTTGGGGTAGCAGCTCCTCTACCTGTAACAGGTACCAGCACCTCTGTGGGATCCTTGTTCTTCTGAGCCCCTCAGTGCTTCAGTCTCGGGGTGTTTGAGGCATCACCACTAATTGACCTCCATGGTCTTAAAAGTACAGTTTCTGCTACAGGGCATATATCACCTGGGTTGATTTTTTGTTGGTATGGAGTTTTTTTTTTTGATTGGTTTTTGGGTTTTGTGGGTTTGCTTTGTGTGCGGGTTTTGCTTGTTTGTTGTGAGTTTTTTGTTGGTGAGAGCTTGACTGATTTTTTTGCAATCAGAACAATATTTTTTTCCCCTCTGAAGGGGAAATATGGGCAACTTTGAAGCTTTTGCTGTCTTAATTCAAGTACTGCCATAATTTGGGCAGTTTTATAAGGGCAGAGTTATGTTGAGAGCTGCTGGGAGCCCAGCTCTGGTGCAGGATTTCCTTCAGCTGGAGTCTGGGTCTGGCTCCAGGCTTGTCTTTTCAGCAGGAGCCCCTCAGCTCCTCCCTTTGCTTCTTTTCACTGCAGGAAGAAGCTCTGCTTAGGTTTTGTACCCCAGGTAGGAGGCAGAGGAGTGAGACACAACTCTTGATATGCCCTAAGTGTTCTTTCCTTGGCTGTCACTGACACTTTCATACTCATATTCATAATCAGATTCTTTGCTCATTTTTAAATGAGCAGGATACCTGAAACTTTCCCTCCTCCYTTTTCTCAGGCTTTACCTTGGTGAACTCTGCCAAGGATGTTTTCATTCCAATGAAGGCTTGCCATTTTGCTTGCGTGCACTTGAATACAGAAAAAAACACCTTAAAATGAAATAACTGAATTTGTTTAGTACCAACAATCAGATCGTTCATATTGCCTTTCATGACTATMGTGATTTTCAGAATAAACAAAACCAACAAAATAGTCCACCTGAACCTCAGGCTGAAGCACAAGTGACTTCCTGATATACAACAGGCATGATAACAATGCTGATGAGGGTATTTGATGTAAATATGTGCTACAGTGCTTAAATATTTACTGTTTTCCCTTCAGGAGACTGATGGTGTGAATGCAGAAGGGTGTTTTTTACCTGTACTGTGCAGCAGTGATATGGAAGCTGAACTGTTTAGCATTGAATGGCAGTGCTAAAATTATATTGTCTCTGTGTAATTATATCTACAGGCCCACTSACATACATCATTTACTGGAGAACGTTATAGTGCATCACAGAWACCATCTTATTTTCTTGTAGTAAAWTAGTTCTTCAAATGAGCAACTTTCATTTTGAAAAAAAGAATTCGAAGATGACTTTGAGATTCTTTTTAGAGGTGTGTTATGATATTTTTCTCACACGTTGCTTGCTCTGCAGTCGACTATTTCTGGATAAATGAAGTGAGAGTTGATACTGATGCTTGAGCACAATCTGCCTGTTTGAGGGGGTGACAGATGTAGGTGATTGCAAAACAAATGCCTTCTATGATTTAGCTTTAGTTGCTGCTGGGTCCAGAGCTGCTGTGGTAGCCCTCTAAGTTTGTTGAAATGCCTGCATTTTCCTGGTCTCRCTGTGTGTGTTCCTGGCGTGCCTGTCACCATGGTGACTGCACACCTCTGAGTTTAAATTCTGCCACATGAGATCACTGCAAGTCTTGCTCCAGAGAGGTCTGAGTTGCTGCACTTCGAAAGCAGCGAGGACTGTGATATTGTCTCTCCCTTTAACTCGAATCCCCACACAATGGGATTAAATCCAGTGCTTGTCTGCGCTTGTGTCTTTATTCTAATTTTACATGTAACAGCTTTATGAAACGCAAATAACTTGTTACATAATATGCAGTGCTGAACAGTGTGATTTATCCTTAAATATGCTTTTTAAAATAGACTATACCACTCCATAAACAGAGCACATTTGTGTGTAATCTTGCTGCACTTTTCACTGTGCTGTARGTTATTTTCAACTGCACTGTATTGTTGTAAAAGTTTTTATCTTTCACTGCTGTGGAGAATCCCATGGATCTGATTAAATGAGTTTTTTTTCTATTCATGGCATTCAGTTTAAGTGATATGCTCTGTTGAAACTCCACAGTTTTATACTATTGTCTTTTTACTAATTTTTTAATCCTTATTTGTACTCTGGAATTGTTTTTTTCCTGAAATTTAGCATATCTGAGCCTGAACTTGCTTTAGTTAAAGCCTGTTAAATGTGAATGCAGCTTCTGGTTTGGCCTCATTTCTGCGTTTGTCTGAAATCCTACAGTGGTGGTGGTCTTCTGCATGAGAAGTGTTTTGTATATTTCTAGTGATGTTTAGCAAATTAATACAATTCACAAGTGAATAGTTTTCTCTTTGTGGAGTGCCTTTTTTTTTGTACTCAAGTTACCCAAAAAGAAGCCAAAYGTATGAATGCTCAAGTTTGGCTGTTTGACCCCAGACAGGAATTTCTGCTCCCTATTCACAGGTGTGGAGGTGGAAGAGGGATGGAGGTGTTCTGGGTAGTGAGGAAAATGAAGTAATCCAGGGAATTCCAGATCATTCCAATTCATTAGAATTGCCCCTGAATTACCTCAGACCCAAACCCCAGATGTTTTTATACATGGGCAGGGGCCCGTCGCTGATCCTGCTGCCTGTGAAACATCTGGATCTAAAAGGATGCATTTTAGGCATCTGTGAAAATTACAAGTGTGTTTTTAGGTAGGATATTTTCTGACMTGTTTTCATCTGAGCTGGGAGAATCCTTTCTGGTGCCTGTCTGTAAGTTGGCATCCAAGCTATGCGAAATAAAGTTGTAAATAACCATCCCTGTGAAATGGGAGTTAAGGTCAATAACATGTGGCTCTCCCCTCTCCACTGGATCATACAGTGCCAGATTCTGAGAGAAGCAAACACATCCCTGAAAGTTCTGTGGAACACACCCGGGAAATGCCCCTCATGCAAAGCAGGCCAATGAAAATACGGCAACTTTTATGTGAACAATGTTTTCTTGTGAAAACAAAACATTGCTGCAATACAGTTATGGGTAAGAGGGGCAGAGCYATAGAAAGAGGGGCAAAAATGTTTTGAGAGTGTGATGGATGAAAAGGATCCTTGTTCTGCTGGGAAAGTTGGAATAAGCTGGAGCCAGTGCACAGTCTGTGTTCCCTGGAGGAGGTGGTGGTGGTGGTTCCAGGCTTGCTGCCCCATGTGAGGAAAGTTTTAACTGAAATAATGTGAAAAKAGCTACAGACACCCCACTGTAGTTCTGTTATTGTACTTGGCTGTGTAGGAGCTCATCAGGGAATTGTATTTTGTTGTCTTGTGTGTGGAAGCTTAAGTACAAAAGCTTAAGTACAAAAGCTATTACCTTGATACACAGGGGAATATTGTCAGGGTACTTTCAACTTCAATCCGTGTTTCAAGGCTAAAAGTTAAAACACATCTTCCTTGGGCTGACAGCACTTTGGGCTGCGTATTAAAASTCTTCTGCTGTTTTTGTTTTGKTTTGGTTTTTGCTGGGTGGGGTGCTTTTTGTGTTTTGTATTTTTTGTTCGGCTGTTTTTTGTTTATTTTAAAGTTTTGCATGTGTTTTTTATTTAAGAGTTTCTGAAACCTTTTCTCCCTTGTTCTCTAATTTGCAGCATTACTTCACCGTTCTCTTTGGCCATGAGGGGCAGAAGCCGCTGGAGCTGCGTTGTGAGGATGAGGTGGATGGAGATGAGTGGGTAGAAGCTATTCACCAAGCGAGGTATGAAATTCAATTTGTGACCCTCTGATCTGTTTTATTACAGATGAATGGATAATRCTTTGAAAATCAAAACCCACGTTCCAAACAGAAAGAATTGTTAGCATGCATTAGTTGTGTGTTGTTAGCAATTCATGAGTATATCATAGACAAAAAACCTTTATGCTTCTTTCACTGCCTTTTATCTTTCATAAGCAACTCTGCTGCAGTTGAAATTAGTTCAGGAAGAACATAATTTTATTAGAAACAAACCCTACGATTAGTTCTCCCTTAGAGACAAATATGTCGTATGACTGAGGAAATTAATGATACGACAGGAGAAAAAATGAGTTTTCCCTTAGAAACTCTTACAGACAAATGAATGTGAGAAAGAGGAGGTCAAGCCATTAGGATGACAAAGTGTGACAAGTAAGTTCTGAACCACTTGGATCACTGTCTTATGGAAAGGAAAGTGGCAGGACCTGAAGCCTTTTGTCTTYCATAAGCAAYTGTGCTGTAGTTTGRATTAGTTCAGGAARAMCACAATTTTGTTAGAAACAAACSCTACRATTAGTTCTCCCTTAGAGACAAATATGTCGTATGACTGAGGAAATAAATGACATGACAGGTGAATAAATGAGTTTTTCCTTAGAAACTCTTACAGACAAATGTGAGAAAGAGGAGGTCAATGACAAGTTCTGAACCACCTGGATCACCGTCTTGTGGAAAAGAAAGTGGCAGGACCTGCAGCCAGGCAGTGATCTTGACCTGAGGAGAGGTCTGTGTGGCGAGGGGTCAGGGTTGAGGTGTAATCCAAGTGAAAATCGCCTCTCTGAAGGAGCAGGTTGTGGAGGAACGCCGAGATGCGCTTTCCACAGCCCGCTCCCTCCCATCACACTCACCTCAGCTCCTCCGCAGCGCCATGGTAACGCGCCCGCAGCCAGCAGCTCCCCGATTGCTTAGGACATGAGCCATGTAAACAGAGCTGATTTCTGCTCTGGAGCTAAAATGGAACACGAGCAGCGAGTAGTTTTTAATTTAGAGCTGGTGAAACGAGGCCCTGGAGCTGCGGGCCTGGCGCTGCTCGGGCCTGGTGCGGGCCGAGCGGGGCCTGTGCTCCTCCGGGARGGTGGGGAGGGCAGGGGAGCGGCTCCATCCTCCGGGAAAGAGGGGACGGGGAGCTGCTCCTTGCTGAGGGAGGGTGGGCAATGAGGAGCCGCTCCTTCCTCCGGGAAAGTGGGCAATAAGGAGCCGCTCCTTGCCCGGGGAGGGTGGGCAGTGGAGCCGCTCCTTGCTGAGGGAAGGGTGGGCAGAGGGAGCCGCTCCATCCTCCGGGAGGGTGGGCAGGGCCTCCTTGTCCCGGGGTGTGGGCAGGGGAGCCGCTCCTTGCTTCGGGAAAGTGGGCAATAAGGAGCCTCTCCTTGGGTGCCCGGGGAGGGTGGGCAGGGGGCAGGGAGAGCCGCTCCTTGCTGAGGGAAAGTGGGCAATGAGGAGCCGCTCCTTGCCCCGGGGTGTGGGCAGGGGGACCCTGTCTTTGCTGAGGGAAAGTGGGCAGGGGAGGCGCTCCTTCATCAAGGAAAGTGGGCAGTGAGGAGCCGCTCCTTCATCGAGGAAAGTGGGCAGTGAGGAGCCGCTCCTTGCCCCGGGGTGTGGGCAGGGAGAGCCGCTCCTTGCTGAGGGAGGGTGGGCAGTGAGGAGCAGCTCCTTCATCGAGGAAAGTGGGCAGTGAGGAGTCGCTCCTTGCCCGGGGAGGGTGGGCAGGGGGACCCGGTCCTTGCTGAGGGATGTGGGCAGGGAGAGCTGCTCCTTGCTTGGGGAAGGGAGTAGGGGGACCCGGTCCTTGCTGAGGGTGGGCAGTGAGGAGCCGCTCCTTGCCCGGGGAGGGTGGGCAGGGGGAAGGGAGAGCCGCTCCTTGCTGAGGGAGGGTGGGCAGGGGGAGCTGCTCCTTGCTCCGGGAAAGTGGGCAATGAGGAGCCGCTCTTTGCCCGGAGAGGGTGGGCAGGGGAGCCGCTCCTTGCTGAGGGAAGGTGGGCAATGAGGAGCTGCTCCTTGCTCCGGGTTGTGGGCAGGAGGAGCCGCATCTTCCTCCGTGAGGGTGGGCAGGGGAGCCACTCTTTGCTGAGGGAAAGTGGGCAGTGAGGAGCCGCTCCTTGTCCCGGGGTGTGGGCAGGGAGAGCCGCTCCTTGCTGAGGGAGGGTGGGCAGGAGCAGGGGAGCCGGTCTTTGCTCTCGGAGGTTGGGCAGGGGGTGCCGCTCCGTGCTGAGGGAAGGTGGGCAGGGAGAGCCGCTCCTTGCCCCGGGAGGGTGGGCAGGGAGAGCCGCTCCTTGCTGAGGGATGTGGGCAGTGGGCAGCCCGCTCCTTGCTCCGGGAGAGTGGGCAGGGGGAGCCGCTCCTTGCTGAGGGAAAGTGGGCAATGAGGAGCCGCTCCTTGCTCTGGGGTGTGGGCAGGGGGAGCCGCTCCTTCCTCCGTGAGGGTGGGCAGGGGAGCCGCTCCTTGTCCCAGGATGTGGGCAGGGGAGCCACTCTTTGCTGAGGGAAAGTGGGCAGGGGGAGCCCGCTCCTTGCTCCGAGAGGGTGGGCAGTGAGGAGCAGCTCCTTGCTGAGGGAGGGTGGGCAGGGAGAGCCGCTCCTTGCTCCGGGAGAGTGGGCAGGGGGTGTCGCTCCTTGCTGAGGGAAGGTGGGCAGTGAGGACCCGCTCCTTGCTCTGGACAGTGGGCAGGGAGAGCCGCTCCTTGCTGAGGAAAAGTGGGCAATGAGGAGCCGGTCCTTGCCCGGAGAGGGTGGGCAGAGGCAGGGGCTCCTTACCCCGGGGTGTGGGCAGTGGGATCTGCTCCTTGCTCCGGGAAAGTGGGCAATGAGGAGCCGCTCCTTGCTGAGGAAGGGTGGGCAGGGAGAGCCGCTCCTTGCCCCGTGTTGAGGGCAGTGAGGAGCCGCTCCTTGGTCCAGGGTGGGCAGGGGAGCCGCTCCTTCCTCCGGGAAAGTGGGCAATGAGGAGCCGCTCCTTCCTTCGGGAAGGTGGGCAGTGAGAGCCGCTCCTTCCTCCGTGAGGGTGGGCAGTGAGGAGCCGCTCCTTGCTGAGGGAAGGTGGGCAGGGAGAGCCGCTCCTTGCCCGGGGAGGGTGGGCAGGGGGAAACGCTCCTTGCCTGGGGAGGGTGGGACGGTGGAGCCACTCGTTGCTGAGGGAAGGTGGGCAGTGAGAGTCGCTCCTTCCTTCGGGAACGTGGGCAGGAGAGGCGCTCCTTGCCCCGGGTTGTGGGCAATGAGGAGCCGCTCCTCGCTCCAGGGTATGGGCAGAGGGAACCGCTCCTTTCTCCGGGGTGTGCGCAGTGAGGAGCCGCTCCTTCCTCCGGGAAGGTGGGCACGGGGAGCCGCTCCTTGCCCCGGGAGGGTGGGCAGTGGGCAGGGGGAGCCGCTCCTTGCCCGGTACCCCGGGTCAGAATGTCCATTCCTCGGTGTCCGGGGCTCCCTGGAGCTCGGGGCCCAGCTAAGCCCCTGTGCCCGGCAGCTGAGGGGAGCCGAGCGGGGATAGCCGCCTTGTCCCGGGCCCGGYACGGCCTCTTTTGTGAGCACACGGCGAGGGAAGGAAAGAGCGGGGCTTTGTGCCTTGTGGCTGTGACCTTTAGGGACAGCAGCACCCTGTGAGTCGCTTTTTACAGCAGGAGTTTGGTTTTGCCTCAACGCTTGCCTGACAGGAGGCGACAGCCAGAGGGAATTTGGGATCTGCTCCAGGGAACAGGGACAGGAGCAGAGGGAACGGCCTCAGGCTGTTCCAGGGCAGGCTCAGGGGGGACATCAGCAGGAATTTGCCCATGGAAAGAGTGCTCAGGCCTTGGCAGGGGCTGCCCAGGGAGCTTTGGAGTGCCCAGCCCTGGAGGTGTCCAGGGAAGGGCTGGAGGTGGCACTGAGAGCTCTGCGATGGGGACAAGGTGGGAATCGGGCACTGTCGCTGCTGGTCGAACAGTGACAAAAAAACCACATAAAAGTGGGTGAAAAAAACAGAGGAAGAAGGATTTTATTGTGGGATAAGCTTTTTTTATCTATTTTAGTAACTAGAGTATACATTTGTGTTAAGCATACAGTGGTTAAGAGATAGCTGTTTAATTAGTAGTTAGAACATAATTGGTGAGTTTATAAAAGTATTAGTAATGTTTATAATTTTTAGTTACTTGCGTTATCAATTTTACATTCTAATTTTTTTTTTTAACAGTAGCTAAGCATGTGGGGGTTTTTTAATGGAGGTTGTTAACACTCTTTTTTTTTTCTTAGGTTTCAGTTATACACAATAATTGGTTGAGTTCTAGAATCAGGGTTTGTGGGGCCACTTTTTTCCCCCACAGGGCACAGCCTGGACACCGTGGGCTGGTAGGGAATTTTCCACCCTCAGTGACCCTGGCATTATAGGATTCTTGTGCATTTCCTGGTGTAAAAGGTGTGTATGCAAGAAGAGCTTCGTAACACAAGGGGTAATTTCTTTTGTGCTGATAGTACAGTCTATAAATGTGTCACACATGAATTTTCAAGGATGAAACTGACACAAACCCAAGCCAATAATAAACAAATACCCAACTGAAAATATGGAGAACTCCCTAAAGAGATGGTTGGACATTCAGCATCAGAGTGGTTGACTTTGGGCTCCACCAGAAAGTTGTAATTGCAGCCTTTAGAGGACAAGTGGGTCTCTGAGGAACTAAGATCAGCATTTTGCTCTTTGAATTGCATGTTCCCACTTCATTTGGGCCAGCCTCCTGATTATATTAGCTGTGGAAATCCTTGTGAGGGACTGTCTCATGTCTCCCATCCAATTGGGGGATTTTCCCAATCAACATTTCTGCATAGGTATCTAATTTTCTTGGGTAAGCTTTCCATGGGTATAGACATGGCTTTCTTGTGTTTTCTTGAACAAAATATCAAAAAGTGACAAAAAAAAGTTGTAATATTTAGCTGGTAAGCGTGGAGTGTTATTCCCTGCTGTGGTTACCTCCTTGCTCCGATGATTTTCTACTTCACTGGAAGCTGCTTTTGTT